ATTCACTTTCAACAGGACTAAAGCTCACTTTGTTAATGCTTCTTAACTTTTCTATAGAAATTGTTACCATCTGTTTTTATATTTCCAGTTAGCTTTCTCTCATACCATGACTTTTCCTTCCTATTAATCTTTTAGCCAATCTTTGCTGTTTTTAAATCCCATTCACCCTTCTGACTTGCCACCCATCTTTGTACCATTTTATTTCTTTAAATTCAATACTAACATTTTTTAGTTAACTGTGGATGTTAGGTCCTCCCTTGGAATTTATCCATTCTGTGTATTCTGAAATTTCCCCATAAATATTAATACTATATTTCTATTCACCTATACTCAACCTAATTTCCCAATTCATTCTAGCTACTTCTGCTTTTATGCCCTTATAAATGTATCTGTTTCTCTATCCCTCAAACTGAATGTCAAAAGATTATCTGCTCATTAAGATTGTTTACAAGATCTTGTTATATGCAAATGGATGTCCTGTTTCCTACATTACAACTTTTCAAAAGTATTTAATTGATTGTGAGGCACTGTGGTAACATCTCAAGATTGTCAAATCCATTTATTTCTTCTCAAACCATTGTCCAAGCTTCAAAATTTTCCTTCTGCCAATTACAAGTCAATTAAAAACTGATGATGCTAATAACCATCACCTGTTGTCAACAGTCCCACAGGTCTCCTGCCAGAGTTTTAACAAAATAACCAGCAGAACCTATGATTTTCTTTATTCTTTCATGTGCGTGGGCATTGGCTGACAAGGTAAATCTTTGGTACCCATCCCTAATTGCACTTGAACAAAGAGCAGGTATTAAAAGCCAACCACATTACTGTGGGTGGGTCTGGAGTCACATGTAGTCTAAACCAGATAAGGATGGTAAATATCCTTCCATAAAATGACATTTATGAATGAAGTGGACTTTTGTAAGAATCATTGATGGTCATCATGATCAAAATCATTGGGACTGAGTTTTCAATTGCAGATTTTACCAATTGAATTTAAAATTGCTCCAATTGCCATGGCAGGACTTGAACACATGCCCAAGACTATAGCCTGGGCTCCTGAATGACTAACCCAATGACATTACTCAAATTATCCCATCACACATTTCACAAGGATACAATGCTTCACACCCCGCTGTCTCTGCATCCCCAGATACAGTGAAACTCAATCATGGACATTCTGCCATCTCTCTTTCAGACTTAGGTGGTATAGAATAGAAGGGGGTGGGAACAGCACAACTGAAAGGGGCTTTGTATTTCCTCAGCCCTACAGAGATATACTATATTAGCTAGTCTCAGTAATAGTGGCCATGAAACGGGAATTGATTGTTATAAAAACCCATCTGGTTCATTATACTGTTTTTTTAAGAAAGGAAGCATCTCATCCTTATCAGCCTGGTCTACATATGGCTCCAGATCCACAACAACATAGTTGACTTTTGAATGGTGTAACAGTCACTCAGTTCCAGGACAATTAGGCATGGCACCAAATCCTGACCTTGCAAGTGACACCTACGTCAAATAAAGGAATAATTTTCTTTAATGTTCTGATGTTTGAAAATGCTTTGCATTAAAAAAAAATCAAATTGGAGTTTTTAACTTACCACTATAAAATGGGCCATTCCACGAACATTATGTATTTAGCTGTATCTTCTGCCAACGCACAAGAAAAGGAAATTGACGCATTTGATACAATCATTGTATAACATCACTGCAACTGGATCCGTAATAGTGTGGCCGGTGTTGCTCCTTCTTTCTCACCAAACCATTTTCCAGTCCTTTTGCTGCCCCACCTACAGCAACATTCTCCTCACCCCTTCCTACTCAGCTCACCATTACCCTCACTGGTCTGTTCACTGCTCTGTTCTCCTCTCCCCTTCCCGATGTATTCGTTGCAAGGTACATCCCAAATCCTGCAGCTAAATGTATTCATTCTTCTGCTTGAAACATTGCCTACATATCTACACATTTTAAAGAGTGGAGAATATGGGTGAATTGGTTGCTTCAGTATATTTATCAGTGATTTTTCATTAGTGAACATTTGTGGTGTTCCCCTAAAAGGTGTCATTGCAAAGTGTCCAGCGATATCACAAGCATTGATATCACAAGCACTGCGACTGCTCACCGAGTGTTGAATTGGCAACAAATTTATTTTTGTTGTTTTGTAGCATTTTAGAAAAATCTACATTTTGATGCAGTTGTACATTTTATTACCCAACATTTTCAGAATATATAATTGCACAGGTTGTGTGATTGGAACAATATTTGGGCTGTGCATATTCATTACTATTCTGCAATAAAATCAACAAGCAATACAGAAATCAGGAAGTTGCAGTACAATTTTACCTGCCCTTGCACGAACATCGCAAAACTGTAGTTTGCGAATATTTTTGGCATTCAATCATGTGCAGACTGGTAACTTCATGTACTTACCATTTGATCCCATTAAATACTACAGGAAAAGTACAGGCTTGTCCATTCAAGAGTGAGCAATTTGTTAACATCTTGATCCTTCTTAATTACTGCCAACCTCTCAGGTCTTGAAATGTTTACAAGAGTGGGATCTTATTCCTTCAGATGTTAATTATTGTTCGAGGTTAAAAACATGGGTCTTATTTTACTTTCTCTTTGTGTCTTTTATCTCTTCACTTAATCCCATTTATCTTTCCCTCTGTATACAGTTTTAACTTGAATTAAATATTTTGGCTTACACTTCTCAGCTTAGTCTTTGCATGGCAAAACAAGTATTCTTCAATCTATTTGGTTGCTAATGCTCGTCCTGTTCACAGAGGTTCCCAAACCCTTGAAAAGGAAACTGCGCTGAACCAAATTCCCAATGATTGAAAATTGTTGCACAGAAAACCACGACAAGCATGTGGGAAGCTACTAATGCAATCAATGTCAAGTGCCAATTTTTGTTGCCATCTTGTATGGGTGGTAGAGGCAGAAATTCTCATAACGTTTGAGAAGTATTCAAATGTATGTCTTGGCATCACAAGTGTACAAGTCTACAGGCCAAGCGCTGGAAAATAGGATTAGAATAGTTAGGTGATTATTTTTGACCAGCACAGACTCAAATGAGCTGAAGGGTCTTTTTCTGTGCTGTAGATCTCTACAAGTCTATACCTTTAAAACCTGGTTTATTGATAAAATTGTAGAATCTTTCTTCTTCCCTGACAGCTGTGTCTCTGTGCGAGCCTCCAAATCATAAATATGTGGGCTCAAGTGCAACTCCAAAGACTCTAGACTGATAGTCCATGGCTGCAGTGTTGTAGATATCACTCTTTGAATGAGATATTAAGCTAAGACCCTGCCTGCCTCCCATAGATCGAAAAAGTTTATCCAGGTTTTTCCCTCAAATAATATCACAAACATGAAGCCAGTTTGTGGAAGCTTGCTTATGCCAATTGATTGCCACAATCCCTATGTTAGACATTGGCCACCCTTTAATGTACTTCATTCGCTAACATTAAGAAGGACACAGTAGCCCCAATGTCCTTGTCACATTCCACTTTCAGTTCAGTGATAGCATGTTTCATCCCTCACAAGGAGCAAAATTGAATGTTGTGCCCCTATTAGTGGTAGGAAGGCATTTAATCAAGCAGGAGAGTGGTCATTCATGGCCCTACCACATTCATGATGCAACCTGATGAACTCTGTGGCAAAAAGGCACTTGGATGGCCTTTCTCACCTGCTATTAATTGAGGCCTTTAGTTGAGCAATTAATGCCCACTTTACAGCCTCATGTTGCTGCAACTGGTATTAACACAGCAGTAGGCATGGAGCCTTGTCATCCAGGGAGCACAATAAGCAAACTCTAGCATGATTGCTTGGAGCTCCCAATGGGCTGCACCTCATTCAAAGACACCCTGATCAAGGAACCCAACTTTAGAAAGGGGTGCCTACTGAGAGTCACCACCCCTCACCTTGCTGCTGGCCTCCCTCACTATTCCCCGGGGTCTCCCACTCTGCAGCTCCTCCCACCATCACTCACCTGTGACCGAGAATGCAGAGGCGATCTATTGTCCCAGGTAGGTATAGCATCAGCAGCAGCAGCCACCGCCTCCCCAGTTCCCTGCAGTTCAATTCTGCTCTCAGCCTTTAATTTGTAGGTGGAACTTCCACCCCCAGAGTCCTTGATCACAGTGAAAACCTGCTGCTGCCCAGTTTGGTGCCTGTGTGTCACTTTATATGGCAATGCAAGGCTCTTTCTAGCTTTCCAGTTCCCTTTTACAATCTCCAAGCCTCCCAAACTGTTTAAAACAAAATGAAGAATAACCACTATTGCAATGGAGAGAAGCAGCAGCTAATTTCTTCATGGCACACTTACATTAAGAGCAATGTGATAAATGACCAGATACTCTGCCGCTGGTATTGCTTGAAGACATTGTGCGGATGGGTCCTACTCTTCTTTGAATAATGCAATGGAATATTTTACATACACTTGAGCAGGTAGCTTGCACCTTGATTCACTGCATCATTGAAAGGCAAAGTCAGAGAGTGGAGCACTCCATCAGTCCTGAATCAACCTAGGCTGCGTTCTCAAGACCCTTGAGTGATGCTTTGAACCTATGAACGTCTGACTCGGAAGTGAAAATGCTACCCATGGTTAGCACCTAACTTATCATCCAGAGGTAATTTATCCCTGCCTGATTGTAACTTTATGTCTCATATTCAATCTTTCTTGAATTAGCTCCCACTCTCTTTGATCACTTTGTTTTGGCCTTAAGATTGCCAATTTGTTGGTAGAATGGTAAGCAAGATTTGAATCTACAGCCAGCAACAATGTTGCAAAGTTAAATTTTACACAATATGTATTGCAAGCTCCTTCAACAAGTGAAAATATATTTTACAATGTCAGATAGTATAGCAGGTACAATATAGATCTTAAATGGAAGAATCACAACATACTTAAGTCATTTCAATTGCATTGTAAACAATGTTTATAAAATTGATTTTGTGACAGTATGCACTAGCTAATGATTTCAAATTTCTACCTTTGTTTGTCCCTTCTTGTTTTCCATCATCAGCTCTGAAATGTCACCCAGCCTGCCTGTTTCTTTGAAGTCTTTCTGTGTTTGTGAGCTGCCCATAAAAGCTTAGACATATTAAGATGTTCCTTCCAACAATCCCAGTGAATTCAGCTGCAACTTCATCGAACGGTGACAGCATCGTGGCACAGAATGGCAGGACATTGATTCACACCTCCAATTTCCCTTCGTGTTGAGATGCTCAATCTGAGCTGGGTCATCAGCAGAAAGCATCAAGCTGAGCTAAGGCCCTTCTCCTGCAGAGTGGGATAATTGAGGGTAAGTCAACCTGGTTTGCTCTGGTGCACCTGGTTATGGAGTGGAGTTAGCAGACATCTTTTGGTAGGTCATCCGCTCAACCTCTTTGCTGGGAAGACATAGGCAGTAAAAGGTAGTATTAAGATTAAAAATATGAAAAATGAAGTGGTTGTAAAGATGACAAATGAAATATATTTTGAAAAGATCTTTAAACAGAACTTCATAACTTTTATCTCTGAACAGCACACTATTTTTATCTGTCAAGTCGTTGAACATCTCTCATTTCAACTCCCTAAATTTCACGAGACATTTTGATTTTACAGGTTATAGATTATATAAAATTCAGGGGGTGAGATTTGGCATACTTAACTGGGGTTCAATTAAGGTGTAAATCTAAAAATGTTGAAAGCCCTGGAATCAATAATATTCCATTATTTATAAGTGTGTATATCACAAAGCCATCAAAAATGAGAGAAATGCTTCCTCAGAAAAGACAAAGCTCTAAGGCATCTTAGTATCGAGTGAATTCAGTAAGAGCCTGTGCAATGATTAGAAAATAACTCTGTAGCTCCCTCTAGTAGGGGTTGCCTAGTAACCACTGAAGGCCATCTACATTAACCCTTCACTTTCCATTTCTTTGCTGTTGCCATTACTTGCATTTATTTGATGGTATAAATTCCTCCATTTTCACCCCAAGCTCCTAGGGTACATTTTCATCCATTGACTAATCTTACAATCAGACAAAACAAATATATTTGGCTATAAATATTTATATGCAGTAACAGGAACCGATCCTGAGGGGTGACGGCTTCTTAGAATTTATTCAGGGCTGTTTCATCAACTAGTATTCTGAATAAAACATTGCAGAAAACACTGTTAGATGTGGTACTGGGCCACGTCAGAGAACTAAGCGACCTGAAGCTAAGTAAATAGTGACAATAGCCTAATTAGTTTTGCATTGGAATAGTTAAAGGAGGAGTCAGAAGTACGGGTAGTGGACTGGAAATGAGTTAATTTCCGTGGAATGAAAAGGGATCTGGCACAAATTAATTGATTGGAAAAATAGCAGATTAAACACAGATCAGCAGTTGCAGATATTTAAATATGGGATAGACAAGGCACTGGCAGATGATATTCTGATTTTAGGCAACAAAAATGTGTCAGAGGTTGGGATCCTACATACATAGCAATTACAGCAAAAAGCACTTTAAAAGTGACATAAAGATACAGGTTACAAAAAAAAAGTGATAACCATAGAAGGTGTAAAATAGGAAGGACATGATATAATCAGGTTTAAGGCAGAGGATACATAAAGCCTGCTGCTGAATGTGGAGAAAAATAACAAGGACTTTATAAGTATCTAGAAACATCTTTGCTTGAGGAGAAAGGGATAACAGAGACCCTGAATAAGTATTACTCCCATTTTATTTTACAGAGGAGGTTGAAAGTGGAACTGTACAAGGACCTATTGATGTATTCAAATAGTCAATCATAGAAACCCTACAGTGTGGAAGCAGGCCATTCGGCCCATCAAGTCAACACTGACCCTCTGAAGACCATGCCACCCAGATCCACACACCCACCCTATCACTCTGCATTCCCCATAGCTAATTCATCTAGCCTGCACATCTTTGGACTGTGAAACCGGAGCATCTGGAGGAAACTCATGCAGACACGGGGAGAATGTGCAAACATTACACAGTCACCCAAGGGTGGAATCGAACCCAGTTCCCTTACACTGTGAGGCCACCACTCTGCCCAATGGGATAGAAAATAATATGGTCATGTAGCACAGCTGATGGACATTCCAGAGTACTGAGTGAGTTACACAGCAGTTAGGGGAAGGTTGTGTCAAAAGCCAAGCCTAGAAGATGTTAAATATCACATCACTGTTTGAGAAAGGGAAAAAAAGAATAAGCCTGGACATTTCAGGCCTGGTGTGTGTAAATGTTGGAGTCTGAAACACTGGATGAAATTCACAAAGATTTTGCTAATTGTCTCTCATTAGCCACAGTCAGAAAAGATTTGATGAGTCGTCATTCATGAGTAACTGAATTTTTCAAGGCAGTTGCAGAACATTTAGATAAAGGAAATGAAGGTTCAGTATGTATAGTAATTTACAGAATGTTAATATCAATAATGTTTCATTTAAATTAGGAATCATAAGGCAATGTAACTGCATGAACCAAAAGATAATTGGGGGACAAAATACAGCGGAGGGATATATGGTTGGTCTTGGATTGGTAGCATGTTGATAATAGTGTTGTACACAGGACTTTTTTCTGTAATTCAAAAGAATTATATTGAAACTGCATGATTATAACCTATTAGGAAGGATAAGAAATAAACAGAAAGCATTTTAGAGATAGCCAGTGGACATAGTATACCAGAGCATGCTGACAGATGGCCGAAATAGGGTCTCAGTGCAGAAAGAACGTGAACTGGTACATTTTAGGAAAATTAACAATGAAAGGAAGTGTACTCCAAATGGTAAGATTCTTAATGGAATGGAGTGAATCTGATGGAAGCTTTCAAATTTTGAAAAGGAAACATTGAGTCGATTGGTGGATGGTGGGGGTGATTATTTCCATTGCAAGGAAAGGGAAAGTTTGAACAGATGCTTGCACATGGAGTTATTACAACATGGTTAAACATAGTTATTAAAACAAGGACTAGAATATGAAACAAATTAGAAAAAAAAAGCTGAAAAATGGTATTAGAATAGAAGGTTACAACTGAAGAATGAGCCACACACCTTCTTCTGTGTTTCCTGTATTTTTCTTTAACATATAATTTCACTAATGTCCTAAAGAATCTTTGATCAAGATATTCTAATTCTGTCAGAATCACACAAAAATCTGCCTTTACAGAATAAATTTCTTTTCAATCCTGAGACTTTCTGTTGGACAGTTTAGATGCAATGCAATATGTAAATGTGGAACTGGTTCAGAAATGTCTGTCAAGTTTGATGCAGCCCATGGATTGTATCCTCTTCTACATGAATTTTATCTTATGCATTTTCAATCAACACACCTACAATATTTAGAAAACAAAAAAGAGAAATGTTTGGGTTTACAAAAAGAATTATGGATAATCAAAGTTCATAGACGGTGGCACAGTGGTTAGCACTGCTGCCTCACAGCACCAGGGGCCCAGGTTCAATTCCACCCTCGGGCGACTGTCTGTGTGGAGTTTGCACATTCTCCACACGTCTGCCTGGGTTTCCTCCGGGTGCTCCAGTTTCCTCCCACAGTCCAAAGATGTGCAGGCTAGGTGGATTGGCCATGCTAAATTGCCCGTAGTGTTCAGGGATGTGTAGATTAGGTGGGTTATAGGTGAATGGGTTTGGGCGGGTGCTCTGAGGGTCAGTGTGGACTTGTTGGGCCGAAGGGCCTATTTCCACACTGTAGGGATTCTATGATCTATAATGACCGGAATCTTACATTGATTTGCAAACTACTAGCTGTGTCACTCTACAGTGTAATAACCAAATCAAAGTAAAAGGGATACATACAGACAGAAAAGTGATAAATAAATTCCATCTACATATCTCACACACACAAACCACAAATCCAAATTGTAATTAATATATAAAAGAGAAAATATTCCTAATAAATTTTCAATTCAAGGAATAAACTTAAATACAAAACTGCAACCAAACATTGAATATATCCACATATTTTTGTCTTTGTTGCATTCTAAGCATTAAACATTGCAAATTCCATCTCATTGAAGAATGTGACAGAAATTGACTTAATCTGAAATGGTGTTGAAGGTTTATATTGCCTTTGATTGAATCACTTCATGAATCATTACGTGGACTGTAGCACAAGGATTTACAAATGAGCTATTTCTATCTTGGTAAACAAGCTGCCCATCTGACACAATTTCAGGTATATTCTATCTTTTGTTTCTTTCCAACTAGTTGTGTTTCTATTAATCTATCTATCTATAATTCAATTTTACATAGAATGTATAACTCCAACATTCATCTGTATGTCAATGCTTATATTTCAAAACAGGTCTCTTCCCACTCCAGTTATTTCATTACACTTTATCCACACATTCCTCTGTTCCTCTTTACCTAGCTTCTGCTTAAATGCATCCATACTTTGATCATTTTACTGGGCTTATATGTATTCCACACACACACACACACAATCAGAAAATGAGCAGTTGCTGTAATTTTTCAGGTTATTTTAGGCTGCTCACTCAGATACTGTATAGAGCAAAAAGACAAGTGTACAGAAGAATTCACCAGTTGTGTGCATATTTTATATAATTAGCAGATTTTACGAACAGAACATAACCTTTCAGGTATTTTTTTCCCTGTATCATTGCAGCAAAAAAAAATCACAATTAATGTCTTTCATTTTGCTATCATGCTTTCTGATGCTATCATGCAATAGAGTAAAGACTATATATAGTTTTAAATTTTTACATTCAGACAGAAAGATCCCATATCATATCTTTTGTCAATCAGATAACTCACTCAGAAAAAGGTTTAACAATATTGACATGAAGCTGGTTGTTAAACAAAACCACACTTCTCCTGTGCCCCTGGGGCTAGACAAAACTGTGACCCATCAAGGAGGACATGTTTCACATCAAACAGTTTCATCGATGGTAAATGTTTGGGCCAGGTTATCTAAGTAGGAAGCTGTTATAACGATAATGAACCCTCAACCAATTCCGGTATTTTTAAAAAGCACACGTCTGTTATGCCATGTGATAATTAGATCCTGTATAAACATTGTATTAACTGAACCAGAAACTAGTCAGAGGTTCCATACCAACAGAAACATCCCAATTTAGTGTTGTGGTGATTAGGAATGTTTAAACATATATCCACCTAAATTAAAATGCTTAATTTTGTTAGCTTTAATATCATAATAGTGATGTGTATAACAAAGTAATGAAACACGTAGTCTGATTAGGTTTTAAAAAAGATTATATTGTATTCAAAAAGAGTTAGATATTTCATTCTTCTGCAACAGTTTTATGCTGCATAAAATGCATATTTCTGAAACATCTTTCCAGCCAAAACAAATATTTTTAATTTTATGCTTATTAGATTGCATTATTGAAATAATTTTTGTGTCTCCGTCAGTATGGTAGGATGATATCTGTTTATATACTACGGTTAGCAAGGTCCTTACTATTATTCGTTTGCCAACAGGGTATCTTTAGCATCCTGCTAAACCAGACAGTCTTTCAAATGAGACATTAAACCAACCCCTCTCAGATAGACAAAACAGGTCCCACAGTAGTATTGTGAAGAAGAGTAGGACAGCCATTCCAGTACCCTGCCTAATATTTATCTCTAAACCAAAGTCACCAAAAAACCTGGTCATTTTCTAATTGCTGTTTGCAAATTGCATTTCCCATCTATATTACAGCAGTGATTGTGCATCAGTGATACATGAAGAGGAGAGAAATTCCACCAGCAATGCCTGTACTGCATTTTCTGAATTCAATGGGAGGATCATTGAACAAATGCTAGTGTCCTTCTTCAAGCCAACCCTACAAGCAATCAGGCAAAGCTCCTGCAAATCATCTACAACAGACTTGATACTATGTCCGGATGGCTGGGGAGGCATCTGGCCAGTCAGGTCCTGTTTTCTCAACTCTCCAATGGCAAGAGTTCCCAAGGAGAACAAAGAAAATGCTACAAAGGCATTTTGATACTCTCCTTTAAGCACAGCAGCATTGACATTAATGGCTGGGAGGAGCTTGCCACCAATCATTTGAAATGGCAACATATTGTCCACCAAGCTGCATAATTTCTGGAGTCCAAGCACCCTACTGATGAGGCAGTGCACTAGCAGAGAAGGAAAGAAAAGGAAGAAAGTTCTGCATTCTGAATCCCACTATCTTATGGGAAGTTCTGCTCCATTTGCCCAAAGATCTACAGCCTGTTCAATCATATGGCAGGAATGGCAGAAATGTGTAATCCTGAAAAGATATTATTTTCAAATCAAAGAACAGTTGATGACAAATGATGCTTCATTAGCCTCATTACTGACTAAAAAGAGAGTCAAAGGAAATTGGGGCTAAGCAGGAATGAGGAGTTGAAGTTGCAATCAGTTCAGCCATGATTTTATTGAATGGTGGAGCACTGTCAAAGGGCTAAATGGCCTATTCTTGGTCCTAATCCATATGTTTGTATGTAAATGCTTCTAGATGTCCTACGTTGTTCTGTTTAAATGTATCTTTTACATAGCTAATCTATTTGAAGGAAGCAATGTCACTCATGTTATCAGGCAAACTTTGCTGATCTAATTGCTTCTTAGGATTCATGTTGATAGCAAAATTAGAAACACGATCGGACTCACGACATTCAAAAAAATACTGCACAATAAATACATGTTTCACAACTGTTGCACTGGTGTTTGGAAATGTGGATATTACATGATGCATCAGGAATGACATAATGCATTTGCTTACTATATACTATTGAATTATACACTGCAATGCTCGATAATAGTGCGTAGTAGCAGCCAAATCAAATTACCACATCCTTGGCACCAAATGAGTGAAATAGCAATTATAATTGTGAATCATTGCAATTAGTACCATATCTGTGTCCTTTGAACATTCACAAAAATATAAAATCATTAAGCATGGATCATCTTAGGATTCTATACGAACTTACTAAAAATGGATGATTCTATGCCAAGTCTAATTGTTGGCACATTGCTGACAAATGGAAAGAGTAAAGACATGGCATTTCAAGACTAATATATATTTTAATATTGATTAATTAATTACCTCCTTTTCTTTGAAACTTACAGTAATACAATGAAAATCTGAAAATTGCAACATATATACAACTTTTTAAGTTCCTTTGCCAGCATCAATTGACTTATCATACAAGTCTAGTTACCTATGAAAACAAGGAAAAGAGTTTTTATTCAAAGTTTTTTCCAGCATGTATATTTGTTACAATTTTGTTTAATTAATCTCTCCAAAAGGCACAATTTAACAGAAAATACTTCTGAACAATTGTACTTGTGTTTACCAGTGACTAAGTGTAATTCGTATCACAAGACGAATACTTGTATTGAGCACCAAGCTACAAGACTGTAGTTACAATCTAGTAGTTACAATTTATACCTGGAACATGAAAAACTGTAATGATTAACAGAAGACCTCTGAACTGGTCTAATTATATAGACCTAGTCCATTCCTTAGTGTTTCTCATTTCATATAATATAGAATATGTGCTGTCAGTTAGCAACATCTTGTCCTTACTGGCAAACAAAAGTTCAACTCAAGAGGGAACACACTTTATAAGCTGCTTGTCAACTTATGCCTTATCTTTTGCAGAAACATTTCAAGATGCTTCACACACAATTAATTCCATACAATTGCACTAACCAGATATTCCCACAGCTATTACGTGCATTGCAATATTCTGCAAATAGTGATCAATCCATTGTATTTATTTTAAAATAATACTGGAGAAACCATTGCTATTTTTCATAGCATGAAGGAGTTTAAATAAGCACAAGACAGTTGATCCTCCTATGAGATTTTTAGTACTTGCCATATATAAAAGCTTTTGATTTGGAAACTGAAACAGTAGAATGGGATGGGTCATTATTGCTTTGAGATCAACTAGCCACAGTATATGAAAAGTAACTCAGACATCCTCACTACGTGCTGATCAACCGATCACAAAGCACACCTGTACACACTACTTTGCACCATATCAAGATTTCAACACAGTTTACTGCACATTAAAGATACTTATGTGCAAGTGCATTACTTAACAACCAATTAAAGATAGACACACAACTCTATTCATGATATATTATGTTCTTCAAGTATCTGGTAATTCAGAAACTCTGCAAATTTGAATTTTCTGAATTAAAAGTCATTACATTTAAATTTTGGCTCCTGGCATTACTCCCTTCTGAGTCAAGCAAATAAAGTGTCTTGCCTTGTGTCATGCACAATTGAAGAACCATAACCTACAAATGACTCAATCCGATTCAATTTGGAAGATGACTCACTGAGCAGGAACACTGCACTTTTGGGGTGGAAGGGTAGTAGTTGCAGATGTTATACTCGGGTGTATCTCAAATAATTACTGAATTTCTCACAAAAAATAATCAAGATTCCTGACCTGTTGCATCCTGGATTTAGTTTCATTGTTTGGTCACTTATTCGTAGCAAAAATAGGTTTCACCACTGATCAAAGATCTCTGCGGAAAATTAGGATTGCATTCTGCTGTCTTCTTCAAAATGTTACTCTCAGTGAATTTTCTTTAATTGACTCCTGAAAAAAAAAATTCCATATTAAGTTTCCCCTTATTTTCTTGGAAAGTTGCCAAATTATATGTATTTGCATTAGATTTTCAGGTTTCAATTCACCATCTCATAAACGTTTATTAGATTTCCATGTCCATTAACCATTATAAAATGAATTCCTGTGCATTTGTATGAAATTTCTAATTCAATCTGTATAAAGTTTTCAAACTGAATGTACATTCTTCATTCAATACTGCTTAGCCTAAATAAAACTATAAGCAAACATTGATAGTTAATCCATTGGATGTCTTAGCTATGCAAGATGGATACTTATTCACATCTAAAAAGGTTGCTACCTGACACACACACAAAATTGACAAACAAATAAAAGCCTAACTGTTCCTCATGATGGCTGAAGCATCATGATGCAGCACTTTCTGTTAGAAACATTGCAGCCTATTATTCTATATAGCAATTTGGCATGTAAGCAGCTAGTTAAGCTGCTTCAGAGGACAGACAAGAGTGAAGACCACCACTGTGGGTTAGAGATCATTTATAGGCCACCCTCGGCAAGGATGGAAGGTTTCTTACTCTAACAGAGATTTGCAAAGCTTTTCCTTAGACCTCAGGCTATTGCTTTCAGGTTTCAATGCTGTTTTGCTACCATCTATAATGTTTTTCATTCCACACCTTGCGACACTTCAAATCAGAAAAAGCTAATACATTGGAAATAAGTTAGATGAAAGAAGAATAACAACTTGTCAATTAAAGCAACCAAGGACTTAATGCTGGCTAGTCACAGCAATATGGTATTTCAAGCAGTCCTCACAACCTGCTATGACACATGGTACTGAGCAGGTAGGACTTGAACCCAGTCTTTCTGACCAAGAGATTCCTTCATACACATACTACAAGAACCCTTACATAGTCACAGCAACTGACAGCGCACATCATTGATTTCATCTGGTTTAGATTGGAGGAGACTTTATCTATTTAATCAGTCCTATGAAAATGCATAATTTAGAATATTCTTGTAAACAGCCCATAAAAGGAGATTTCAATATGATGACTATGTAGTCTTTTTCCTTTACAAACAAGCTATTTCAAATTCACACATAGAAACAAACTAAACACCACTCTTAGTACCTGTTCCAGTTGTCAACTAATTAATTGAGATTGATTACTATAATTAATCAACCACTCCATTCTAATTATATTATGCAACTAGCAGAATGGTAGAAAATGAATTAAGTGGAACTTTTTTCAAATAATAATTCCTATTTTCTAAAATATATCACATTATGGATGTCTAAGAGTCAATCTGATGTTACCTGAGATTCAGACTCATTATTACTACTTTTTGATATTCCACCATAGAACATGAATGTTGCTGGAGCATTTGTTGCCCATCTCTAATTACCCTTGAGAAAATGCTGATGAGTGTTTCCTTGAACCACTGCAGTCCTTGGAGTGTGAGTACATCCACAGTGCCGTTAGGAAGGGTGTTCCAGGATATGGACCCAACAACAATGAATAAATGGCAATATAATTCCTACACAGGGATTGGAACTTACAAGTTCAGATTCAATCAATGTTTCTTATTTTAATTTCTGAAATTGCTTACACCTGCATAAAATGGCCCAACTTGTGACACACTGATAATCCCAAAGTTGATTAAAACATACAAAACAAAATCTTAAAGATTCATTATCCAATAATTTCCAAAGCATATTTGCCTATTTCTGAGAGTTTGGTTGTATTTAAGTAGCTTTTGGGAAGTGTTTTTTTTGCAGAAATAGCCATTGTCAGAGTTAGCAGAAAAGCTGAGCTCTGAATACTTTTACTACCTGGAAATGTCCGAGGTTTTGTGTGAGCTTTCCTCACTTTTCACATGTATGCTGCTGGCTAGAGTTTGTGGTCAAGTGAAACGGCGTCAGTTCACTGTAGCATTTACTTGGATTTCTGAAATCCAGAGCAAACAATCAAGCAACTTGTGGTTTCTCCCTACCCATTAAAATTAAAACATCTGTCAGTACTGCCAGTCACGTTTACGTTATCTGTCTCCCAAATGCATTTAAACAGATCAAAAAACATCAATTGAAAATAAAGAAACTAAACTCCTTGCATTTAATTAAACGCAGTTGTGAATTTGGAATGTATCACTTCAGGCCGAACAGAAAATTAGTAAGTAAACAAAGCAACAAACCCAAACGTCAATCCTCTATGTTTAATGTTGCCGCTGTGTGCTCCCGATTACTTGGCATCAATTAGTTTAATCAAGGTCCTGGAACTCGCTGTCTGAGACAACTCCTTCATTCACCCGAGTGACTGCAGAGCCTTCAGGAAGATGGCCAATCACTAACCACTCAAGGGAAACGAGGGAAAGGCAGTCTTGCCACAATTCCCAAATCCCAAGGTTTTTGTTTAGAAATTACATTGTAATAAGTGTCGTTACATATCGTCACTGTTGGAAGTTAATGGGATACAGTAGAATGGCCTGCTACCGTATAAATGTCTTTAGAGTGAATCACATCAGACTGCTACCTACACTTAAGTGAACAACTACCAGAATTCTATTTGGAGTTTGTGATATTCCCACAGCTTTCACATTAAAAGTTGCTGGGCTTCACTTTTTTGAACGCTGTTTTATATATTATATATATATATAAGGACTGCACGATGACTGATGATGGTGCTAATGTTCTGTGAGCTAGAGGTGTCGGGGACGCAATATGTCCCACTAATTTGCCTACAGACGGGGCGGGTATTGGGCGTGGTAAAACACCGCCAACAGCCATGATCGGCGGAGTATCGGCGTATTACCACCGGCCGAGTAAATGCACATATCTGGCTCAACTCAGTTTCACCTCCACGAGCGGTTGGCCGACAGTCAAATCCTTCCTACAAGAATGTTTGATAAATAACATTTTTAACAAAAAGGAAGGATTCTTTACTTGCTGGCTGAAATTCCCAATAAGCAGCAAATGTTCGTGATTAATTTCCACTTAAGGGCGCAGACGTAAATTTATAGGGGCCTTCAGCAATCTCCCAGTGGCAAACTATTAAACAGGGATTTTCTACGTGTAGAACAATGTTGTCTATTTAAATGCTGCCACGGTTAAGTCAGTTTAACTGTGTTTAACCGAGTCTGAGTCACCTCCGTGCAATCATGCAAAATATTAAATGTTCCCATCATTTCGCTTTTATGAATGATTGAGATCGCACACATAGCCACAAATTGACTTCACTGAAACAAGGTTTCCCCGTCGCACATTTGTATTAATATCCGTTTTGCCAGCGGTTGCCGTGACAATACAGCGCATCGGGACTTGTAATTTTCCAACTACCGTCTTTGTTTTGAATCCTCCTAAGCTGCCTTCTATTTTCTTAAATACTGACATTTCGGGAAAAACGCAACGAGCGAGGGAACTAAAGTGGAATTTTAGACGCCAGTGAAGCGGTTCCCGCTCAGGCTCAGGTTCCAGCTCCCATGCTTCCGAACAGGCACCAAGAAAAGTAATCGGTCTCCTATTTACTTGGGAAAATCCTTGACTCATAAGGTGTAAATGAGTCAAGGATTGGCGTGTCCTAAACAAGAGTTAGACGTTGGATTAACCAATAGCCACTAACAGACCTATCAAGAGTCAATAAAATAAATTTTGGAAGAGTACCGCGGAATCTGCGTTTTAAAAGCCAGCGACTGTACTGTTGAAATCATTGCGTCTATGTAAGGGCTAAGTAACGCTTATAGGAGTGTTTCGCGATTCAATGATGTTGATCTTATTACAGTGCATGAATGGTATCTCGTCTTGTCAAATATGACTGAAGCAAACTCTTATTGTAAAATTGTTTTTTTTCATCCGTTTGTGAGGCAAACTCTTATTGTAAAATTGTTTTTTTTTTCATCTGTTTGTGAGGCATAAGACACAAGGTTTGCGTACCTTCGAGAATTCCAATTTGTAAATCTACTGACCGAAGTGACTTCACTTTCACGTCAATGTGGTTTTCTTTGCAATCCAATTGCAAACAATTTCTCCTAGTCTATCTGCATTGCAGTACAATTCCTTCAAACTTTTTAATATGCTAATTATGGACTTTTTATAAATGACCAAAAATTGTACGTAGGCGAACAAATCAACCGCCAGAGGGCGTCTTGATCATTCATTGCTAAACAATATGTACACTGCTCGACCACTGGAGCGATTGGATTAAATTACCAGATTTACGGGGGGAAAAAAAAACTATACTTTAAATTGTGCTAATCGTTTGGCTGGACTTTTAGAAGGAGGAGTTTGTTCAAAACTCAATGGAGTTACAATGACAGGTGTACTTCAATGAGCATGTCTTTATCTCAACGGATTTGAAGAACCACCAGAGACCTTGACCCGTGCATTGTTGGAACAATGATAGAGTCATAGAGTCATGCAGTATGGAAACAGATCATTCGGTTCGACTAGTCCATGCAGACCATGTTCCAAAACTAAGCTAGTCCCACCTGGCTGCGTTTGGCCGATATCCATTCAACCTTTCCAATGCATAAACTGAACCAAATGTCTTTTAACGTTGTAACTATTTGCATCCACCGCTTGCTCTGGCAGTTCATTCCACACACTAACCACTGTCTGTGTCAAAAAAGTTGCCACTCGTGTCTTTTTAAAATCTTTCTCCTCTTAAAAATATGCCACCTAGTTTTGAACTCCCACGCTTTAGGGAAAAGACCTTTGTTACTCGCCTTGTATATGCCCCTCGTGATTTTATAAACCTGTTTCAGGTCACCCCTCAACCTCCTACTCTCCAGAGAAAGAAGTCCCAGCCTATCCAGCCTACTTTTATAATTGAAACCTTCCATTCCTGGCAACAACCTGGTGAATCTTTTCTGAACCCCCTCCAGTTTAATAATATCCTTCCTATAACAGGGCGACCAGAACTGCACACAGTACTCCAGAAAAAGGCCTCACCAACGTCCTGTATAACCTCAACATGAGGTCCCAACTCTTCAAACTGAAACTCTCTTTAGTTTCAATTAGCGTTCAGGCTGCAGCTGTGGAAGTGGCCCTGACTGCACTAATAAAGACAATGTTAAAATAACTATAAATTGCATGTGGCCGACTTAAACAATGCTATGCTTGGCTTTGAAATCACATATAAACGGGGTGATGTCTTTTGCAGGATACCAATTAAATTGTCTTATTATAATCTCCCTGGAGTCGCTATCTATAAACTATAGCTGGTTGGCAAATAAAAAAAATCTCCGTGTGACAGACAAAACGGTTTCATTTGGTTCTGTTCAATGTCAGGGATGAATTAAGGATCAACTCATTAACGGTGTTCATCAGCAAGGCGGGGGCTTTTTGAAGCTGGAACATTGTTCAGCATGAATATGAACTCTTGTACTTAGAACCTTGTGTTTTTGAAATTTTTTTAGTCTTTTTATCAGAAATATCGTAATCTGTAAGAGCAACTAGATCTGTTGTATTTCCCAGTTACAGAATGTCATAAAGATGGTTAGAATGTATTCAAAATTTCTAGTTGAGATAGTTCAACCACAAAATGTCTAATATGGGTTCAAGAATTAATGTCTGTGTTGAGATTATCTGAAATATGTAGAATGGACAGAATTCCGGAACCCATGGCAAACACAATTAGCAATCGTTCTATTGCTGCAGAGTGAAGTCTGACTACAATGAAACTTCAGTATCTGAAATTAAAACCGTGCTTGCCTGCTTGTTAACGACTCCCTTCCCTTACTGGAATGGAAATATCGATCTAGTGGATATTTCACTTGTGTTTACAGTTGCGCTTACAACAATTTCAACTGTCAGTTTTGCAGCCCCACGGAACCTTTCAATAACTGGCCACTTGTAGTGGAATCAGATTTGAAACCCCTCAAGTTTAGATTTATTCCGAATTCGATTTGCTTTCGAATCAGTGCAACTTATTTCGCATTAGGTCTTTTCTCCATCCTATCTAAGTAGTCCCTCTCTCTCTCTCTACCCAAGCAAAGCTGTTGTATGTAAACCTGCATTCACAGCGTGACAATGGGGCTGTTTTTTTTTATATATCCACAAGCTATTTATTTTCCAATCAGAGGTATTGACTGTGAATTTCTTTGGTAAACTGGTAGCTTTGGGGGAGCTTTGAAGAATCACAAGTGGAGGGTTTTGTCTGGCCGAGATTTCCTAGCAGCGAAAGCCTTTATCCGTGCGTTTTATTGGCCTTCCTTTACATATGTATAACGGGAATGGAGAGAGAAAAAAAACTGTTGTTAGTCAAGCATGGAGTCCATTTCCCTGTGGCTTTCAGAAGGAGAAAAAAAATTGTGTGGCTGCGTCCCGCTGTATAGTGGTTCTCAACACAACGTGGCAAGGGTTTGAAATTCTTCAGGTCATTTCTTCAGCAGACAGAAGTCGGTAACAAATTCACAAGTTAGAATGGTGCTTGCCAAGAATGCTTACAACGAGTGGCGTTAAAATAAATCTAAGGCTATTCCGCTCGGGAAAGTGAAATCGGGATTCCAGTTTTTTTCTCTCTTAAAGTTCAAATTGTAATTTTAAAAAAAAGTCAGGTTGCACTGGCGAATTAAAAGTGAAGCTGGCGTTCCTTCAAGTGACGAGCTGCACAGATGTTTGGAGGTCCCATCGTGTTTTTTTTGTGTGTAAGAATGGATGCATTGTTTGCACCGATTTACAAAGGGCAGAATGGTCCTTTTTTAACGAAGGGAGTATCATCCCATCTTTAAATGTTGATTTATTGAGGGAAGGTTGAATGAAAACGTAATTAGTATTTCTGAAGCATAAGAGTCTATTTAATTTAAATGCCAGTGAATATTTCACTCTCAGTTGCAAGTCACAATGTGTTCAGGATTGTCGGTGACTGCCTCTGCCATCTGTTACCTACCCTCGGAACAGAAGACATCAGAGAGCGAGGACATGGCTTGTGGCCTAACGTTTGCGTAACTTCAACACCCCTTTCTCCAACAAGGATCATTCTTTCGCCCCTGTGATTGTCCAGGGGAATGTATTGTGCATTAGAACTGCGGTAGGAACTTTAGTGAAATAGGCCATAAGGAAAATAGGGGCGGGCTGGGGGGCAAAAAGTTAAGCAAAAGAAGAGGGCTCTGTGCTCAGAATGCAGTCAACGTTCAAAAGTGTTGTAATCTAGTTAAATCTGCAGTATCTTCCGGTCCCTCCACTCTTCTTTCAGCTGTGTGTCACCGCTGCTGCTCCTGTGCACGAAATGTCAGCAACTCTTTTCACAAATGGGCAGCCAGTCACTACGTTCCTAAAGTATAAAATAAATTACACATATAAATGGTAAAAAAAAATCGTTAAAAAGGGTACGGGAGAAACAGTCAACATGTTAATGGA